TTGTCTACAGTGATGGCCAAAACATCAGCCATCCTCCCAGCTGTCCTAAAGACATAGCTGAAAATACATGCTCCCATCCATCCCGCTGTCAGGTGACTGAAGTGTAGACATTTTTACATCTTGCACCTCTCTAGTCGGATTACCCATGAGAATCTATTTTCCACAGTATTTTTTAAATTGTTTCTTCAACCTCCTTATTTAATATCTGATATGAGTGGAGTGGCAGAGCTGCCATCCTCATCCCAGAAACTGTCATTTTAAAGACATGATAACAGAAGCCTGTTCTTAAAGCTTCCAGGAGTATGTGTGGCTTAAAAAGCTGATTACTGTTTAAAATGATTACTAAGACTCTTAGGAATCTAACTCCCAAAGTCACACAGGTAGTTTTGAATATGTTAGCCTTTTAGAGTAATTATGCCATCAAAGTTCCAGTCAAAAGCTGATGAGCGTTACTAATATATGCTGATGAGTGAACCTGTAAGTGAAAGACCTTCTTGCTTTATTTACACTCCAGCAGATCAGAAAGCACACCAACACTTATTTTCACATACAAGAGTAGCAGACCTGACCTCGGAAGATATTTAGTGAAGTTAAACCACAGCCCAGGGAACAGATTTATTGTAAACCGGCTGCAAGCTGATGCAGTTTTAGTTGATTTCACTGGAGATGATGGAAACTTTGAGCAGCTCCTTGATCTTCAGTGGACTAACACCAGTCGCTACATAAACCAAGAGTCTGGCCCTCCATGTTTCACCACTACAAGTCACCATTCAGATGCAAAATAGTCCCCAGGAAGTCCTCAGTGAGACTCATCTCTAGGCCAGGAACTAAGCAGATGCAGTCAAGAGTGGCAATAATCAGAGACAGCAAACCATCATAGATCAGCAAACCATTTGGGAGCATTTTTCCCACCTTTGGGAAAATACTTAGACTTTTCCCCTCCATGAAATCAAGCACCCACTTCAGGTAGGTTTCGCAAGTTAATACAACACCATGAACATTCAAAATAAGAGGCTTTGTATGAAACTATGGAATTTGCAGCAACAAAGAAGGCTTAAATAGCAGAAAGCTGGAAAGATGAAGAATAAAACAATTCTAGCACATTGCATAAACTTATATTTGGTACAACACTCTCTCTAGAAGCAGATCTCCTGAAAGAGAAAGAACAACAGGCATTATGTTGTCTGGGAAAAGGTAAAGGGGTGTCAGCACTTTTTCCAAGCAGCTCTTTAGCAGCAGTAGAAGAAAGTACAAGAAAGCAGTTCAAGCTCAAACCCATCAATGGCAAACAAATTCTCGCCAGAAGAGAAGCAGCAGGAAGGGGAAATCCAGCCCCCGAGTATCTCAGATACTTAGATCCCTTTGAAGTATCTCTGCATTTGCTGTATTTATGCTCCCAACACACCCCACAAAGAAGAAACTTTCACTACCCTATTTTAGAAAGAAGAAAAGGAGGCTCAATGAGATGCAGAGTCACAGTTATGAGTATCTGTAAGAGTTGCTGACCTTGGCCTACCTGCCTGCCTTTAGGCAGTGCATGTCAGAAAAGGTACCTGGAGACAGCTTTCTCATCTCTTCAGCTAGCTCCAGCCACTGGAGTGGCTGCTCTGATGAAACCTATAGGTCTGTGCAGCACTTACTGAAGAACTAGCATCTGAAGCAGTATAAAATAGCAGGAAAGCTATTAATAAGAACTGTAAGTACAGAAGACTACTTTAAAATATCATTAAACTGCCCCCACCTCTTCCATCAATCATTATTTCAGGAGACATTTTTGTATGTTTCATTAGCTAAGAACAGGTGTCCAGTTTGCCAGATCTATATGCAAGACTTCCATTTGTATTACTCCTCCACTGACATTTGTTCACATATACATGCATGTATGGATCAGCAATTGCTCCACTACACTCTCAAATGGAGAATAAGAGAGTTGTAAATCTCAAAAAAAGAGTTTGCCAAAAAATCCAGCATCTGAAGTTACAGCTGTTCATTTCACCTCTCTGTTCAGAAAGGGCCATTTGTGGCTTATTGCAGATGTTATTGAAATTGATGGACTTGCTCTAGATTTATATTGGATACAAATACTCCGGATGTGACCCACTGGAGCACTGGACCTTTGTTTCCCTATGGATAAAAATACAGCCAGTGACATTCAAGCAGAACAGGAAGGCTGTACTCCCCTCCCCACTAAGTATCTTCAAGTCCCTCTGTAGGCAATAACAACAGAAAAAAGCAGCTATAACTCCACCAAAGAGGGGGCTAACCATTCCTCCCATCTGCTAGTCCCACGCTCATTCTGTTTTCACTTGGACCAAATCCTCCCAACCCCTTCTGCTTTATACTTAAGTTGGAGTGCCTCAGACACCAAGAATAATATTGTTGATCTTGGAAAGGTCACTTTCAAGGCACATTTCCATATCTTTTAACACCAGTTTTCTTCCTCAGCCCTGTCTATAATATTGTCTTGGAAGCCATGAAAATTAATTCCATGTTTTCCATATTAGATCTAACCCTGATCTAAAGCTTATGCAAACACTGCCACCATGCAAAACCACTCTCCTCTTCATTCCTGAGGATTTATGCTAACATTGGGCAGACTGATCCATCTGATGAATTGACTTGCAGGTGGCCAGTGGGTCAGCAGGGATGCCCAGCTTGACAACTGCAGGAGGTATGTAGAGGCTTTTGTCTTGAATCAAGCCACAGAAAATATTTCACACCAAAGATAAAAAGGGCAGAAATGAAGCCAAACAGCTTTCCCCAAGGAGCCATCCAGAATTAATATCATAAGAGAGCAGAGTTTCTGCCCTGATGGTCTCAAGAGTGAAACACCACCAGCAGCATGTGGTTCATGCTAAAGGACCATGCAGGTCTTGGGTACAGGACAGTGTTTCTGTTTGCAGTTAAAGAGGAGCTCTAAGGAACCACAGCATGATGTCAATTATAATGATTCATCACATTCATTCACTTGTCCTTACATTGCCCTCATGTAATACTTTGCCAATGACAACACCAGCTCACATACAGGACTCATCCTCCTCCTTTCAGTCCCCAGATGCCATGTCTTCTCTACTGCCAAAAAGTGTGTGGGGATAAAGACGTCCTCTTTAACCACCAGACGATACAGTTTTATTCCTCCCTTTTGTTAGCTTCAGTCCATTTAAGAAAAAAACAACACAACACTCAATGCAACCCATACCAAAACCTCCCCCCATGAAGAGGTCAAGCTTTGTTTCTGTAAGTTTTAGTTCCAATGCAAAAAAATTTCAAGCTTGTGAAAACACCCACTAAAGACTTCATAAATAAAAACTGCCTTTCACATAATTTCTGTAATTAGATGCTGGGCCAGCTCTGACCCTGGTGCAGGTGCTCTCGTTCAGGAGTCACACTGGTGGGGTGCTTGGCCCTCTGCAATCTGGACTACAAGCTCTATCCTATGAGATATCTCCTGGAACGAAGGAACAAAATCAGAGGAAGCCAAACAAATTGATGCAGAACTATAACATGAAAAACACCAATTTTTCTATGTGCACCTTATGCAGTTTTAAAAGGATGCTGTCAGCTTCATATTTTCAGACGTAAGTAGACAGAAAATCCTATCTCAATTAAGCGGTCCAAAGCAATGCTAATGAGAAGTGCATTTTTTTAATACTATTACTTTATAACTGCCTTGCCACATCCTTGTTCTCCTAGCTTCTCTTAAATTAATGGACCTCATTTTTGTAATGCCCATAACGGTAATGGATTCAGAGCAACAGATAGGCACCTTTCATAAAGAAAGATATCAAGAGATGACCCATGCAGTTTTAGGCCTTTGAAATGCATCTGTCTTGTGCAGAAAGGGCCCAAGCTAATTCATATTCATAGTGAAAATTCAGAAAGCACCTCTACATCTAGGTATGACTATAAAGGTGGTGTGCTTGCTCTTAGTACCAACTACAGTATAAACAGTTTCCAGATAAGACATAAATAGGATGTTTCCAGTCAGTAACATCCCTTTAAGCCTGCCACCTAAATCGAAACTTAGGTGAATTAAGATGCCCAAGGAAGTTGGTGGCTTCAGTTTTCACACTTTCTTAAGGTTAGGCAACTGATGTAGAAACTGCCAGCTGATGGGTGCAGTAGAGCTGCAGCTACTTGTGCTGGGGAAGAGTCTCACACAAGGGTCAGGACTCTGCCCAGGCGCTTTTCTACTCTGAACTGCTATGGTGTAAAGTCCCGGTTTCTTGGATGAAGTGATCAGCTCATTGGGGAGGGTTTCTAGAGCAGCCAAGCACAGGATGCTGACACTGGTCCATCCAAGGTCTAATTCGTAACTTGCTCCTCAACTTGCAGCCAGCATGGCTTTATCTTAGTTTCTCTGTCTGGGAATCAGGATTTTCTAAACACTGTTTCTGATCCGTTTTAAAAACAAAACAGAACAAAAGTTACCAGTTTTCTTTCTAACCCTGAGCACTCCCAAGCACAACAGCTGAAAAGTCCTTGTCCTTCAACTGTGGTTTACTTAATTTTCTCAAAGCAGAGAAAAAGTAAAAACAAAAAAAAAAGAAAAAAGAGTACATCCTCCTCTCCTTGTTTCTTTGTAGTTAAAGACAGCATCTGTACCTTTCTTCTAGAAGTCTAGCAAATAAACACATGGATCTGGAAGCTTTCACAAAGTACTTAGTGGTCCAAGAGAGGTTTTAATGGAAGATAAGAAAACTTGCAACACACAGGTCAGAGCACACAAGGGGTAGGAAAGTAAAAGATTAGCGTGGCTCTGAGTCTGCTGGGGGGGGGTACACACAACAAAAAAAAACAAGTCCCCAGTTTACAAAGGTTCCTCCCTGCACAGAGTAAACCCTCTCGCCACCACCCACCCAGAACACGACACGAAACCCACAGCAGTCCAACCACGGCTTTATACAGTGGTTTTGGACCGTTTTTCAAGCGTTCAGCAAGGAAGGGAAGAGACCCCCAGGACACCAAATCCGCCGCCGCCGCGCACGCAACCACCGTACCGTCCCGAGCCCTTCTGCGTCTGGCGTTGCTGAGCGCAGTGGCTCCGCCGCGTCAGTCAGCGACAGCCCGTTCTTCCCGACCCGGATCCCCGGCCAGGGTAGGCGGCGGTGCCCGGGGAGCACTCCTCCCGGCGCGGGGGGGGGCTCATGCCAGAGCGGGGCGCCGCGCTACTGCCGGAGTCGCTGGGGGAAGAGGAAGGGAGAGCGGGGAGAGCCTCTCCGCAGTTATCCCAGGGTGTCACGGCGAGAGCACCCTGCCCGCGGGCTTTTCACGCGTGGAGCGCCGGAGCTCCTCGCGGCGCCATCCCGCACCCCGTCGCTTGTCGCGCACAGAAACAAAACAAACTGCGATTTACTGGGTTGGTCTTTCCCCCCGCTACTAAAAGCGCCACCCAACGCCGACCCTCCACCCCCTGGCTCTGAAGCGCCGCTCACCCGGGACCGCGCTCTCAGCGCCCTCCCGGAGGCACCCGTGGCTGGGCAGCGCCGGCAGCCACCTCCCGCTCCCACCCACCCCGGCGGCCGCGGCCGGGAAGCCTGCACCCGGCCATGCCTTATATCGCCGCGGCGGCTGCTATAAATAGCCCGGCCCCGCCGCCGGGGGCCGGCCCGGGTGCCGCAGGAGGGGGTTTCTCAGCGGCGGGGACCCGTCATCACCTGCGGCTCCGTGACAAGCGGCGTGTTTCTCACTTTTGACTTATTTTCACGCCGCTCTCCGGCGGGCGCGGGGCCGCGGCGCGGCTCCCGGGGGAACGGGGCCCACCGACCCCCGGTGCCGCAATGGGCCCGTCCGCCGCCGCCGCCGCGTTAAGGTGGACCGCGGGAGCGGGCGGCAGCACCTTAAGCTGCTCCGGGGGACGGGCGACCGGTGCCTCGCCTCCCCCTGCCCGGCATCCCGGGCCCTGGGGGTTTGGGGCTGAAAGGGAGCGGCTAGAGTCTGCGGGCCGCGAGGTCTGTGGCGCCGCCGGCGAGCGAGGAAGAGGAGGAGGGAGAACAACCGCGCCTCCGCGGGTGCTGCTTGATGGACGGGGCAGCAACCGGAGGGCACGGGATTGTACAAATGCAGTTCATGCCACGTGAACACGGCGCACACGATGCCGTTAAGAACCAGCTACTATATGCGTGCACACATACATATATTCATCCTAAATAGGAGGAAGCTTTATCAACTTATAGCACAGTGACAGAATTTGTGTTTACTGTGCCAGGCCTCATCCCAGTTGGAACTTAAGGAACACATGGGCAGTGATAAACTTTTCCTGCCTCATTTTTGTGCCCTTGGCACTGGGGGACAAAACCAAAGCAGTGCTTCACATCTCTCCTGCAGACTCCTTTGCCACTTCACACCTTCACCCGCTTCTGTGCATGCACTCGTTTATTTACATGCCTTGCCTTCACAGGAGGCAGGCAATAGCTATGACAGTATATCCATGTCAGTAAGGACTGGTGGGTCTGGCTGTGTCCCATGTTCCACCATGGGAGCATCTTGGGCACAATCCTGCAGCATGCTCCGGCACATTCCAAGTGCCCAAAGCATCTTGGGGCTGCATTTAGGCACCTGCTAATTCACCTTGCTGGGTCAGGGCCCACCTCTATACTAGTTTACAAAATAGATGTATGACTTGAATTGATTCTCACAGACAAGTGAACGACCCAGTTCCCCTCCTGTGCAAAATCAGCATTATGCACACCCCGGTACTCCCTGAAAATGTCTACCCAAGACAGTCTGGCACTGCACTGTGGCCTGCAAAAAACAAGAGAGTTCCTCTATGCTGTCTTTCTTACCTAAGTGAGAGGCAGAGAACACACTGCCGTTTTACAAACAAGATACATGAGTCTCTGCTTCAAAATCTGCATCGGTCCAGCAGCATGGATGGGTGAGAGAGAGCAGACCCCACAGCAAGTGGCTACAGCACACTTGGCCACAGCACCTGTACCAGCTCACCCTGCAGTCTGCACTCATCTCACCCCAACTGGAGACACAAAGAAATGTGTCCAGAACCCCTACAGGCTTTGCTGACTGAATCACTGGACAGAGGTGTTTTCTTCAGATGGGTTTTGTACGACACCCATTTCTCAACAGGAGTCACAGGCTTGCATGTGAATTTGGTGCAAATCTTGGCTCCTCTGTTGGCTGCAAATTTTCCTTCCAGGACAAACTGGTCTCCTCGGTTTCCCAAGGGCAGGCTTTGTGCAGCACAGTGATGGAGGTGGCTGGCTATGAAGAATCTGAGTTTTTGCTATCAGTATATAGAATCATAGAATAGTTAGGGTTGGAAAGGTCCTTACGATCATCTAGTTCCAATCCCCCTATGGGCAGGGACACCTCCCACTAAACTATGTCACCCAAGGCTCTGTCCAGCCTGGCCTTGAACACCACCAGAGGTGGAGCACCTTGCTGCTAGTGAGGGCTGCACTGGCAGAGCTGTGGGTAAGCAGTATCCATTAGTGAGTCTCAAAACACAGCAGATTGTTTATACAGATTTATACACTTGGAGGTATGGAAATGTTGTCACTAAATGCTGGGGACGCAGCACTCCTGGGAACCGTAGGCCAAAGGTTTCAGGTTTAGATCTTTAAATCTGAGCATCCAGCTTTGTACTTCGGCATCTTAAGGAGATCACCATTCAGAGCAACTACATGTCTGTTTCTGTGCAAAAAGCTGTATTTCCAAACCAAGCCTGGTATTCAGACACTCAAACGTGAAAATCTGTGGTGCATTTCATACCAAAGTCATTAAGATTTGAGAGGAAGAGCCTGTGGCCTGGCTCCTATACATCAGGTCTCTGGGGTATTCCTCAGTTCTCTGTAGCCTTCCTGCCTGTAAGACATACTAAAATTATGTAAGGAGAAAAGCCAAAACCTCTTTCAATTCCAGCCAGTATCTGGAGCACCATCAGATTTCTTGTAGTGCATATTACTTAACAACATTGCTAAAGGAGAATTGCTGCTGTGATTGGGTGTTTATACAATTCAACTCCTATTCAAGTGCATTTTTGTATCCTGCTGAGTCACCCGAAGGAGCCCTCAAACAGAACTGCAGGTTCAGTTTGACAGCAGAGGTGGTGTCACGCGTATCTCCTCCTTTAACAGCCCTCCCCCAGGGGTATGTGAGTTCAGGATGGGCAACACTTCAAACTATGGAACTGAGTGCAAAGCTAAAAGGAAAAAGCACCTTAAAATTTCAGCCATTTCCCCCCATACAGCTTTAAGCACACAGCATTTCCAGTCTGTTTCAGCTTCATTTCATAGATTAAAGTGATTGTACAATCTCTGAACTGCTCAGGTCAGACTATACTTCAGGCCAACTGTCTCTAAATAAGAGGTCACATTATTTATATAGCATAATGTTTCACTATTAGGGCTAGATGAATGTAGCTGTTTATTATCCTGTATTAAAGCTGAGTGGGTTAACGCAGCATGAGCCTCTTTGCTTGTTTTGCTGGCAGCTGCCTTTCGGGCTGGCCGGGGAGCTTCCCTTGCCCTCCCTTGGCATGCTGCACACAAGCCGAGGCCTGCAGTGGGTGGCTGCAAGCCCAGGGGCTTGGGCAGCATGGTGGCAAGGCAAGGACAGTTTGCACACACAAAAAAGCCATGTTTTCTCTGCAGGAACAGTGAAACAGGTGAGATTTTTGTCTGCAGAAGTTCCTGCCTGTGCCACATAGCCAGGGATAAGAGGTCACTGCAGAGGAGGCAGTGAGTGGAGATGGGATCCCAGGGCATGCGGTAGCCCTCCCAGGTATTAACCCAAGGCACTGCTGGCATTGCTTTGAGGGCTGCTGGGTTGTGCTGGAGGAGACAGCTGTACCTGACTGCACCCTGCAGAGATGCATGCACCATCCTGCACTGGGTCAGATCTTGCTAGAGTGGAGCCTTGCAGGCTTGACCTTTGGTGTTGAACTGGGAGAAGAGCACAGGGAGACCAAAGCCTAAGACCTGCCTGATGGCTCAGTCTCAAATGAACTGCAAACGAAAAAGTTGAGGGGCTTCTCAAGAGATTCTTCAGAGATTCAGAGCAGCCCTGCGGAGAAGGACTTGGGGGTCGATGGGATAATGAACATGAGCTGGCAGTGTGCGCTTGCAGCCCACAAAGCCAACTGTATCCTGGGCTGCATCAAAAGGAGCGTGACCAGCAGGTCGAAGGAGGTGATCCTGCCCCTCTACTCTGCTCTCGTGAGACCTCACCTGGAGTATTGTGTGCAGTTCTGGTGTCCTCAACATAAAAAGGACATGGAACTGTTGGAACAAGTCCAGAGGAGGGCCATGAGGATGATCAGGGGACTGGAGCACCTCCCGTATGAAGATAGGCTGAGAAAGTTGGGGCTGTTCAGCCTGGAGAAGAGAAGGCTGTGTGGAGACCTCATAGCAGCCTTCTGGTATCTTAAGGGGGGCTATAGGGATGCGGGGAGGGACTCTTCATTAGGGACTGTAGTGATAGGACAAGGGGTAACAGGTTAAAACTTAAACAGGGGAAGTTTAGATTGGATTTAAGGAGGAAGTTCTTTACTGTGAGGGTGGTGAGGCACTGGAATGGGTTGCCCAAGGAAGTTGTGAATGCTCCATCCCTGGCGGTGTTCAAGGCCAGGTTGGACAGAGCCTTGGGTGAGATGGTTTAGTGTGAGGTGTTCCATGGCAGGGGAGTTGGAACTAGATGATCTTAAGGTCCTTTCCAACCCTAACTATTCTATGATTCTATCACATGCCAGATGGTTCCAAATCTGCACAAAACGAATACAATAGCTTTGCTGTCAGTGAAAGTCCAGTCAGTCAGAAGTAGCAGATCACTCCTTTAGGCTATGGATGAGGAATATTGCTGTGCATCTATGGACTAGGAACAATGAAGCTATAAAAAAAAAAAAAAAAGATTAAACAGCTGAAATTTATTTCACTCTATTTCTTTGTGTACTTGGCACAGACTACGATAAAGCTACTTAGCAGTAGAGGACATCTAGTGATATTCACATGCAACTACATAAACCTGATAAAAGTTCACGTGTGACTGCTTAAAAGCCAGTTTGGCTAAAGACTGGATATGGTGTGGCTGTAGCAGCTGCAAGAGGGCTGGGAGAGGCTCAGCACACAGCACCCGCTATAAACAGGTCACAAAGAAAAAAAAATCTTCTGAAAGGCTTTATGCATAGAAAACAAACAGCGAGAGCATAGACAGAAAGCTCTGGGGACCTAGTGGTGATGCACTTTTTAACAAGGAGACGTCACACAGAAGTACAGCACTTCTACAGCAAAGACACTCTAAGCAGGGATACAGAGATTAAAATCAGGAGTCTCTGTTCTTATCTCAATTTGCCTTTCATGTGACACCCTGAGCACACACTGAAGATTTTTTCTCTCCCTAGTACAAGGGATCAGCCCTTTCTCCATAGCCTTTTTCAGCCTACCGCTCTTCCTTTTAGAAAAGATACATAGAATACTTCCCCCCGCCATGTTATTTATCTCTAGAAATATTTTTCCAGACATATTCCAGGCCTAGGATGGGGGATCTGGCTGCAAAACAGAGACTGACAATTT